TCTTAGTTCACGTTCCGCCGAGAGACATTGATAGATCAGAGCCATTTTTTCCGAGATATGCAAGAAGGCGTTTGGAGCACCGTTAACTTTGGGAGGTCCAGGTGAAATCTTGTAGATAAAGGAGTATTCCGGTGAGCATTTCTTGTCTCCTTTAATGTAGTGGCCAATATTTCAGTGCGAGGCGCAAAAAAAGTGCCATCCCCGACAAGGAAATGCCGTTCCCCTCGCCCGTCATAACTATAGGAAAGCAGTGAATGACCCCTAGGTGTTAGGCATAGTCTGGCATCACGATAGGTCTGAGTTGCTCTTCTGCATGTCTCCAAGAGAGTTCGCCAGATCTTGCCCCCCTTCCCACAACACATTTTTCCATGCATCATGTAATATATGGTAGGATGAATGATAGAGCTGACGCGAGTCTCAGGCAAAATATGGGTTCATCCATGAAACCATGAGTCATTCTGAAAACGTTGTTTATCAGGTGACAGGTTGTAGCAATCGGCAAATAAAGTGCCATTGTGGCCAAATAAACATGTGAATCCAGAAAAGGAGACGCGAGACAGGTCAGGAAATCATGGGATTTCACCTTCATGAGGCCTGGTTTACCCGGGCCTGAATTTGTCGTCCTACTTCTTTCCCTTTTTAATTCATTTTCCCCATGACTGAATTTTCACCCACAATTTTCTTAACTCCGCGGGATATTTGATAGTCTTGGAATATCATATATTAACAACTATTTTATCAAGTTCCATGCCCCACTCTCTTTGCCTTTGATTCTGCTGACTCATTAGAGTTCATCACTTTCATACTTTATTTACGACTTGCATTTTTCATGTTTCTTTCCTNATCTGTTTTACATCAATATGAATGAAAAAGTGCCCGCATTTGGGAAGCACCAGCAAGAGAAGGGAACTTCCACCTAGTGGTGTACTTTACGATGCGGCTGCCCCATTGGCAGTCCTTGAAAGTTCCCCTGAAGGTTTTTTTCGCTCCTAATAACCTTCACTAAGCAGCCACCCACTGCCCTTGACAACCCCTCGGCTCAAGCGAAAATACTCCTGCCTCCTACCGAAAGAAACATGTGTTTGTCTCTCCTTGAACTGATGTCAGGAAAAGGAGAATGTTTATGTCGCCAGATCATTCCCGAAGCGTATGGTATCACATTACAAGGCGGTAAAAATTTTTTTTGCCTGGTGCGTAGTCACTTGCTTAGCTCGGCCTTGTAGCCGAATTCCCGAAACTTTTTTTACGCAGCAGAGCATTAGGTCCGTTTCAATAACTGCCTCTTTCCACTGCTGCTTTACATTGTGCATGTGATTCTGCACGTTCCTTGCCTTTCCAATAGATGGAATTAAGAAGCCTGGCTAGGCTTTATGCAGGGTGAGGCAGAAATAAGGTAACTGAAAATGTATTTCTTATTTGTGTTACCTATTATGTACATTATCACATGGAAATGTGCCTTCAGCATAGTGGTGAGCATATTGAACTCGTGATTTTGCACCAAGGTGAAAATAACAACTGAACTTGCAATGTGCTGTAGTGTGTAGTAAATAATATATATAATGAATAATGTTCTGATTACTGAATTGCAGTTTCAGTTACATTTTTCTGCCTCACCCTGTGTAATAGAAAATGGCAACAGTGTGGGATCCCAAAGCAAGCAAACAAATTAAGTTTGTCTGGGACTATGGTATTAAGCAGTATAGTCAGCAAGTTTTTATTAGTTTGTATTAGTTATGTAACCTTCCATCACCCAACATGGCTCCCCAGGACCCAGGAAAAGAGAAAAATGTCAAACCTCACCTAACCCACAAGCATGCTATTTGAGGGAGCCATTCTAATGATTTACTTATTTTTCACCTACCAATCAAATCTTAAGTTGCAATAAGATGTGGAAAAGTCTCAATCTTAGTGATTTTTGCATGCATTTACACTGTCTTTGTATTTTGTTTCATTTGTATAGGGAGACAATTTTCAGGTCTTTCTTAAGAGTGAGATATCACTTGATGCTGGTGTCACCTTGGGTTGGTCTTCATTTCATTTGGAACAGTGTTTTCACTCAGTAGTGGCTTCAAACCCTATGTCATGTCCTTTTTTTCCTATTAGTGGGTTGCTCATAAAAAGGGGGTGGTGGTTGCTTAGAAAATAACACCCAGCATTCATAATGGACAATGATGTAATGGAGGACAAGAGGGCTATTAATAGTGACACATCCTGAAAGAAGTCTGCCCTGAAATGGTGTAGGATTCAGAAATATGTACCTTGAAGGCACTTCTTGCTTAAATTGACAACATGCATTCTTTCATTACTTAGTCCAATCATTGCTGTGCCATAAATCATGTTCCAGATTAATAGTATTGATATTATTATCAATACTGTTCATCTACTATTAATTAAAGAAAAGGAAAACTTATAGGCCAATAATGATGTCACATGAAAGGAAGATGATCTTTGTGGAGCGAGATCATATTATTCTCCCCATTAAGTCAAGATAAAAGCAGGATTTTCCACAGAAAATAGTTGAGGCAAGCAAGGAAGATAGCAAGGGGTAGGAGAGACAGACATTCTCCATTGCAGGCTTCTCGAAAGAGGTCTTTCTTGAAGATCAAAGCAGAAGGATGGCAGGGGATCAAAGCATTTGCCTTTGAAGAAATTGTGCATTATTATTTCCTCTTGTGGATTGCAGTTCAGATAGATCAGTGTTTTTCAACCAGGGGGGGTCCTTGACAAGGCTACAGGGGGTCCACAAAACTATACCCAGGTGAAAAAATTATGGACAAAATAATAGTGAAAAAAGGTGCATACCTTTCAACCAAACTTTAAAGATGTTGCTTTCATAATTAGTTGCACTAGTTTTAGAAGCCTACTAATTTAGGCAATAGTGAAAGGAGTCCACATTGTTCCCCTCCCTTCCAAAGGGGGTTTCAAGGTTATTAAAGGCTGAGAACCACTGAGATAGATTATATGGAACCAATCTTTAAGGATGCCTGCAACTATGCAGGTGAAGTTGTGATGAAGATTTGTATTCACTGGGAACTTTTCATCATGGACATGTGACAAAGCATTTCCATTAGGTATGACAAATGTTTTACTCAAGTGGATCTTTTGTTCAATGTAGAATTATGTATTATTTTAGAACAGTGTCATGCACAAATATTAAATATTCAAATCTAATTTCCAGGGCACTTTGGTGGTCTACTTCTTCCTGTTCATCTTTGAGGACCTCCCAACCTCCTTGATTGCTTGTGGAGCAGCTGGTCAACTGTGTCATCTCCTCATATTGAGGAACTTCCCATATTTTGACTTTACATCACCTGCATTCCTCTTTGGTATAGGTGAGACTGTCACATATGTGCAATCCTAAATGGGAATCATCAGGAGGAAAATTTCATCATGCTTAATTGTTGTCTACTTTTGAATTCTACCATTATGATGCTTAAAACATTTTTAGTTAGTTTTATAGAAACACAATTTCAGGTTTTCCCTTTCCACTTCTACATGTGTCTCAGCTGTTGAACTTTCAAACTCATGTAAGAGAAAACAAAAAGGATGAAGGCATATTTTGGTCATGAGAATCAGTAAAGTTTTCAAAAATCACAAATTTCCACTTGCTAAGGAAAGGTCACTCTACTCATTTAGATGACAGAATGTCATTTATAATGTTCCATTCTCATTTTTACAAATGACTGTTTTTCAGAATCACCATTAACAATTAGGCATCAGCTAAATTCCTTGTACACACTACAGTTTGAACTTGTGACTAATCTTTACTTAACATTTTTCCTTCAGAAAATGTCAAGGAAAAATATCAGATGGGTCATTTAGTGTCAACTCACCAAATCAGGAAGATGGAACCACCTCAGGTTCGAATTAAACTTGTCATGTTGGATATTAATGTGCAAAAAATTGTTTCAAATTTTAGTCCCCTCAGAGCAGTGACACTAAAGTTACATCAAGATAAAATTTTAACCTTTCTTGGGTTACAAGATTTCATTCTTGCACATTTCAGAGCCGTTGACATTTGGTTGTTTAGAGTTTTTCCTCCTGGTGAGTCTCAAGTGGTTTTTCTGTCTGTCTTCTAACATTCATGAACATGACAATGACTTCTTTCTTTTCCAGCATTGTTGGGGATAAATCATTATCTTGCATTCAGTCACTTTGCCTCATATTATTATCCATTTTCAGAGGTAAGTCATTGTTTCTCTTTCTTTTTTTATTGATCTCTTTCTTGACCCAGAATTTCTGACTCAACTGGAGGATGTTTGGTTGGTTACTTGTGAGGTCAGACCTTAACATTTTTAAATGTTTGTGAAATTAGGACAATATGCAGTGTTTCATCAGGAACCTAATGGTGTATTTCAAATTGACATCAGAAGAACTGGACAAAATACAAAATTCAAGGGAGGTGGTGTGGAGTGTTGTTTTTATTTATATTTATATTTATATTTATATTTTTATTTTTATTTATTTATTTATTTTTTTTTTTTTACAGAAGTTTAGGCTGTGGTCATTGATTTCATAATAAAAATCTATGTTATTATTATTCAGAAGCTGAGCTGTCCAGTGCCCTATCAGAAGAGAAAGTTTTGATTATGGAAATTAAAGTGATACACAGTTATTGGGTGACACATGCAAGTGACAGGGTAGGCATATAAAAACATTACAGGTCTTGGTGGCATTAATTTGCATTTGCCCTCTTGTGCTCTTGTGAAGTTTTTTCTAGGTTTTTAAGTATTTTTTGTAAATCTTATTGGAAAACTATAAAATTTGTTTCTTGAAAGTTTCAAGTGTCAAGTTCATCTAGATAAAGAGTGACTCATTCAAATTTTGGTCATTATATATGACTTTTTTTCATGCATGAGGTGGATGCCATCTTAGCACTGCTCAATAGACTTCTCACCTTTAACACCATAAATACATTTTTTTGTGTGTGTTATAGTAGTCTTGATTTTGTCCTATTCATAATATTCTTGATTTTTTTGTCCTAGTCATATTCATTCTTGATTTTGTAACATCTTCGGTCTTAAATGAAAAGATAAGACCTTGATTTGATGGTGTGTTTAGAGTATGAGTACAAGGACTGAAGAAGAAAGAGGATAGTGAGAGTTTCCTATGAAATCATGGACCTATCTCTGGAGTCTCTTCCTTCTACAGCCCTTCTTTTTAAAAACACCCCTTTTAATTCAGTGGCTTTTCCTTTGTACATAACACTGCATAGTCAAGAGCATTGCAATAAGAATGCAGATGCAGTCATTAGAAGCAGGCTTTTTACTGACAATTGGTGCACACATGTAGAGCAATGCTGAAGCTGCTGATGTGTGGAAGAGCAGAACTTGATCAAAGTTTCAATGACTGTTGCTCTTAATCCAAGCAACTGGGAGACTTGAAAACATTCATGAAACAGATTTTAGTGTTTTCTGTTTGATTAAAAAAAACATTTTCATATTTCTACTTTAGGTTTTTATAAAGCCTTAAATAGGACACTTTTTTTTTGCACCACCTGGTATTGTGTTTCACCCTCTAGATAATTGCCCTTTTTTACCTTAGATTTTCTCGATGCTTTGAATTGCCATGTTTCCCATTCCTTAACCTTTCCATGGCAAATTAATATGGGAGTGGTCAGAGATGCACTGAACTCAAGCTAAAACTTGCTTGTAATTGGGGCTTTGTTATATCCCAGATTGGGTCACAGTTCACTCTTTCATTTGGACTGTTTTCCCTCAAATCTTTGCTGCACATGCTGATACAAGCAAGCTTTGAATGAACTTCAAATAGTGTCATCAAATGGAGCCATTTTCACACAAAATGTTTAGCTGCCCTTGGATTTATTGTCTATCATTTTTACATCAAAGCAATACTTCACCACCACATTCCTGCACAAAATTTGACAGCCATGGATGGTGCATTCATTCAAAGGCATGTTATTGTCCACCCCTGTGCAATAATGCTTACATTTAGTTCTCTTGCTTGGGTGCTGCTGAGGTCTAGCCAACTGCTCAGCATCCTGGATCCAGCAATACATGAATTTTGTTATCTTGTAATTCCAATTTTGACATCTGAAAAGATCTGGAGTTTCTGAGGCTTTTCTTTCATTGGAAAAGCAAAGTATTGGTATGAGAATGAAAGTAAAAAACCCAAGCCTGTTCCTTAGGTGGTGTGAGATTCCAAATTGATCAGAATTGGTTGGCAAACCATCTAAAATGCACCACAAACCCAAATATTTGTAGGAGTGGAAGGATCAAGATTATGAAATTTGGTTAACACTTTGACTGCTATTCATGCCATATGCCGTGTTTGGCACAGCAAACCTCCACTGCAGTTCACCGCAAGGAGAGGTTGGCCGGGCATTTAAATCCTCAGCAGTCAAAATGCTTATAAGAATTGGCTTCCTCTCAGATGTTGACCATATCACCTAAGTTGAAAATGCCAAGGAAACCTGTGTTTCAGGTTCCATCATCAGTTCTTCACAACTATCTAATTTATTGAAACTTTTCTATCTTGCAGATCTTGGCATACTTCACTGTTTGTGTTTGGCTCATTCCCTTTGCTTTCTTTGTGTCCCTTTCTGCCAATGAGAATGTTCTACCTTCCTATGTGGAAGCTCGACCTCTGCTTAGTGGTAAGAACTGTTTTCCAGCTGCAGTCTCTTTTCCTAGGACTAAAGTAGTCTATTGTGGGAAGAAGACCTTGGTCTCTTTCCAATGTAGTTATATATTCTGGGTTGGTGCTTCCTTTATATTTCATCATTCATGATAAATAATTTCTTGGAAAAAGTAAGTATTGATATGCCAAAAAGTCCTTGATTTTCAACCAATAAATGTTTAATTTGTTGCTTTCACAAAACTTGGACTGTGCATAGCCTGAAATGTTCCCAGGAGACTTGATTTTCATACTAATTCACCTAGAATAGGGAAGAGTATAAAAGAGTATTCCAAGCAAGGTGGCTATTGTAAATGGAATAGAGCTGGTAATCGAGTAGAGGAGACACCATGCTAGGGTTACATATCATGGAAGTCAAATCTAGCATCTCTTCAATTAAAGTTCATTCTTCTCACTGGTCTTTTGCTGCAAATGGTTTTGGCAAGCTTTTTTCCAATAACTAATGAATCCATAGGTATCAGTAGAGTGAGTTTGCTCTAAGTATCTTATTATTTTTCCCTTTGTATGTGTTGGAGGGAGAGGCAAGCAGGCTATAGTTTTTCAATAAGGACTAGAGTTCCCTATCTTTTATTTCTGATGTGAATATTCACTTGTAGCCTAGCTTGAGTAGAATGAATTTGCATCATAATTTCAAAGCTGTATCAGGAACATGTAAACCTATGTGCAGTGCTAGTTCCACAAAAATAGTATCAGGTCAGAGACTTAATGGTTAAATTTCTGGATTCCTTTTGTTGCTATGCCCTGTAGATCGACAAAAACTGAAGTCCTATGTGACATTGCCTATATCTGACTGATCTGATGGGATAAAGGCATATGTATATGCTAAATTAAAGCCCATCATACATCATAAATACAACATAGAACATATAGGGGAGCAGCACCAGTTCGCAAACAGGGATCCAGTTAGCGAACGAGGGTCATGAAATGCGATTTGGTCTTTTGTTTCTTGAGTTACACGCTTCAGCTTTTGGTATCTGCAGAAAATGGATTGATTGATTAATTAATGCTCGGGATGGAGAGTGAAACTAGAGTAACAAAAGACCAAATCGCATTTCATAACCCTCGTTCACTAACTGGCTCCCTGTTCGCGAACTGGTGCCGCTCCCCTAAGGGTTTCACTCAGGTCATAAATCAGGTGGCCCAAAAAAATAAATGGCATTTAATGCCTAACAAAACAACATATAAGACATTTGTAGGGGGAAAAAAAATGGGATTTTACATCTCACTTATTTAGGTGAATTCTTGATAATTTGAATTGAATTGGTTGTTTAGTACTCAAGTAACAGTTCTTTTTCTGCAAAATGTCATAAATATAACTGCTATTAATAGAAGAATAAATCAGAATCAGATATGCTTAGATGCTTCATTCAAAATGTCAAATGAGTCAAGTGTGTTTGTGTTTGCCACCTCGGCTGGACTGGGATAGAGCTCTCTGGATTAAACTATATAACTGTCAGGTATGATATCTGTATGATACATGAGGATTCA